CCCCTGCTCATGTCCAGCCTTGACCATTTTCTAGATAAAGATGGCTACCACCTTGTCCCACTCCATCTCGTGCTCAGATTGGAGCAGGCACAAGTCTCTGTATAGAGTATCCCCAGTCTCAGACTCCCCTCCCCACCAGAATAGATATGGTAGAAGAACTCCTAAGTCCCCCGAATCTCCCCCAAGTCCTCCACTGAGGCATCTCTGTTCTGGCATCCCCTTTCTGCTTCTTGCCCCTCCTTCCCTTCCTTACCTAGTTTCTTGGCCACAGCTGCATCCTTCTCAGAGTCCACAAGGCCGAAGCCAACACCCTTGTCTTCTAGGACTTGGGCTGCTAACTGGAAGAAGGAGTCAGGGTTAAACTTAGCCCCTAGAATTTAACCCCCTTCCCCATTTAACGCTTTCCCATCATCAGGTCAGCTGAGGTCCAAGAAACTTAAGCTTTGACCTTGACCATTCGTTAAGATGCATACTATCCCCAAACACCCCATAATCCTAGCCTGTCTTTGGCGCAATGTTTTTAAAGATCGTGGGTATTGACTGTTCATTGTAAAGTTCCTGAGGGAAGCTGAGGAGTCTCACCTTCCCTGAAGGGCTGGGCCCTGCCTTCGATCCTGATCAAAGGCCAAACTCAGCATAGGGGGATATAGGATCCTTGGGACCCTCACATAACTCCCAAAGTGAGAACTGAGACAGATGGGGTGGGTGGGGGCGGCTGGTCATGTTGCTGAAGGCTGGGAAAGTCTAGAAAGTCAAGAGTCAAGAGGTCACCATTCATCACCCAAGGAGGGAGAGCCACGGACAGAAACTAAGTAGCATTCTTCTTCCAGATCCGTCTCCCCCTTTCCTGTAGTACTGTAGCATTTGTAGCCAGTCTTCAGGGTAGTCACAGGCTGGTCACTCCCCCACAAGCCTCCCCACCCAGCAATCCACCCTGACTCCTTCTGCTGTGGGTGCACTGCACTCCGCCCAGTCCTGCAGCACAGTGATTCTTAGGGGAACGGGAGGGTGGGTGGCAGGTGGATGGCAGAGGCTACTGAGCACGCAGGATAAAAATACTTGGCTCATTAATCAGACAGCGGTGTCCAGAGCCCGACAGGGCACGCAGAAATGCAAGCCTGGGGCCTGGTGTCTTACACTGAAATGTTCCAAGGTTTTTATACAAAGTGGGGCCTCTTTGTATCACCAAGCCAGAGAAGGGACCAGAGAGGTTCAGACAAAAAACCAAACAAAACAAAGCATGAAGATATCGCAGCTCCCTTAAAGGGGTGTGTGGCCATGTATCCCAATCATAAGGCCTCCCTGCTGCAACTTGCCCCCGTAGCCTTGTGCTCTGTATTAACCGTCTCTGCTGTGGGTTAAGTCTGGGGGGGAGGGGGTAAAGAAATCTCTTCCCTGAAAGAAAAGATGGGGAAGGCATGCTGAAGAATTTTCCAAAGGACATTTGTTTAATGTAGTAGGGACAAAAGAGGAATTGGAGGAGGGAAAGGGACTGACTGGGCTGGGAGGCTCGTGGGAGGCCTCCAGGAGATATTTAACTACATAGTCATTAAGTCAGTCATAGGTAAATATCAGTCCTGTTTACATTCCTGCTGGGTATTGGGGGTAAAGCCCTAAGTGTGTGAGGGGGATGTATTTTGGCTAGGAGAGAACATGGCAGAGGCCTGCACGCAGCCCCCCTCCATCCCAGCTAAACCTGGGACCCCTGCCTTCTACCGCACAGACAGACCCCTACAGCACTTGCCCTAAAGTTACCAAAGGAAGCATAGGACTCTGGTTCCTGAGTCTTTTTCTTTTGGCTAAGGCCGCATTCCAGTCATGCTCTCCGTGAAGACAAAGGCCCTGTGATGCTCTGACCCCAGCCTCCACCCTCAGACACGGGGCTCACAGAAGGAACTGGGCATGCTCCCTCGGGCCTGCTATTCTCTACTCACCTCCAGGATTAGCTCCTCCATCTCAAATTGTCTTTGTGAGGCCTTGTCGTCCTCAGGGGGCTCATGGTAGAGGAGGGCCAGCACCTCATACTTCTTGAACACATTCTTGTAGTTCTTTGCATTCACATTGATGACACGGTCCACACCGTCGTACTCAGGGAAGTCCAGCCCTTCCTCCCCCTGGACCCCTGACTTGGGTATCCCCAGCACCAGTACAAACAGCAGTGCTAGCCGCAGCTTGGGCACTGCCCTGGCCCCCATCCTGTCAGTAGCTCTCATGGAGGTAGTGGGATCTAGGTCTGCTCTCCTGGTCCTGAGGAGGTCAGCTGCAATAGGGAGGTGCCCCTGGATACAAGAGTCCTGAGTTAGGGGCTCTGGGTGGGGGTGGGGTAGGGAGTGGGCCAGAGCAGTGGACGGAGGACACTGCTGGGTCCTGGAGAAACTGCCGACAGAGCCAAGTGGAAAAGGGTCAGGAGGAGCAATAGGAGCAGGGGCGGGGAGGGAACCGGAGCTGCCCCTTGAAACTGGCACCCCTCCGTCCCCACCTGGTCCTGTCTAAATATGTCTCTGTGGTTGGCAGGGGAGATGGATAACCTTCTGAGGCCAGGACAGCTCCATGAGAGCCTGAATCCTCCCGCCTCCTACACCTCTTCCCTAGGCTCCCAGGAGCTCCTTCCTTCCCCCTCCCCCAATGGCCAGGGCTCCTCAGCCCCTGGCCCCATGCAGGCCTAAGAGCTCATCGCCATATTAAGAAAGGGAAAGGGAGAGATGTCGGATCTAAAAATAAGACCAGATGAGTTAGGGGTAAGTGAAGCCGGGGCTGGAGGAGGGGAGACAGAGGGGTAACGGGGGATCCCAGGGTAGGACAAGGCTAATCAGAAAGAAATGTAGGTGAAGAAGTGAACACAGTTCGGGTCAGAGGCTAAGCTGAGGATGAAGTGGGGGGAAATGTGCGATTTCTTCTGACGCCTAAAATCTGGCAATCATCCATAGGTAAAGTCTATTTCTTTGATCCTATGAAGGAGAGGGGGGCAATAAAAGCACATTCCAGGCTCCAGGAAAGAAACCCCCTGCAGTTCCCTTTAAAGAATGTGGACCAAGGATGAGATCATTCTCTGAATAAAAGATGGAGCGGAGTCCAAGACCAGAAGCCTGGCTTCACTCCAGCCAGTTTCCTTTGCTTCAGTCACCAGTCCTAACTCAGGAATGTACGGGGAAGGACGGGGCTGGCCCGGATTCCATCCTGTAGGGATGTGGACTTGGGCTTGCTCAGCCGGCAAGGACCACTGTGAGGAAGGGAATTCTGCTTGGCCGCTTCCTCCCAGTGCTCTCCGCCCTGATCCTGCAGGACTCTGTTTCTAGGACGTAGGGGCCTGAGCGGGTTGTCCAGGCTGTGTGATTCTAAAGAGAGCTAATAATAAAAAAATACTGTTTCTTCCTATGTCTTTCATAAGGCACCAGATGATCCGGTATAAACATGGGAAAGATCAACATGAGCTAAACAGGAAGAGTCGGGCCCTGTGCAAGGTTACCCAGGACTGTGGGTTAATTCTATGACTCTGAGACCACAGCAGAGCTGGAGGTGTGAAAACTAATGTCAGGCTCACCTCACTTGGAGGTGAAGAGCTGACTTCAGCTTTAAGTATCTAGCAAGACCCCTTTTATGGCCTTCTAGGGCTCATACTAGATAGGAACCACACTGGGGCTCAAGGATCGTGAGATCACACCAAAGGAAGCTCTCCTTGTCCCCTGTGCAAGGTATTTCTCATTCGAGAAGGATAGTGTTTATTTTGCATCTAGGTAGAAATATGAACTTATGTTAGCAGAATAGCTTCTTTTGTTGCCCTATGACAGACCTTATGCGGCTAACTTAGATTCTTAAGAACAGGGCAGGGGTGGGTATAAGAGGGGCAGCTGTCACGGTAGCAGGGGAGGCCAGAGCATGTCACTGGAGCTGGGGTGATCTCAGAATCCTGTCTCCTCCCAGGAGAGTGCCCGATGTGCCAGGCAGAGCTTACAACCCTGGCTGCAAAGGCCACCCAGGCCTGCCCATGAGTAGATCCAGTCTTGGTGTCTCCTTTCTGCAGGGTTCTGGGGAGAGGCAAAGGTCTGAAGAGACAACGGAGCGCTAGATTTCTTCCATCATGAATTAGACCTTTGGAATGAGACAGGACTCCATGGTGAGCCTGGCCCCTTCAGCTCCTCCTATGCTGCCAGCTCTCCCCACCGGGGGCCCTTTCTGGCTCCATTTCCACCCTTAACCTCTTCGGCTCCTACATCACTACTCTAGGCCTCTTCTCTCTGATGCTTCCTCTGTGCTGTCCACTCAGACCCTTCCTGCCGGGCTCCCCATGTGCAGCCCTTTGGATGGATTTAACATGCCTCAGCCACCCATATCAAATGACCCTGAGTTGGGGTGTCAGTATTTTTAACCCACCAGACACTCAAAGTTCCTCACTACTGAAACTTGAGGAGCTGCTCCCTCCCCCTCCCCATCTCTCTCACATACCTCCTCACCCCTGCTTCCATCTTCCAGGGTCTGTTTCAGCCCCATCAGCAGCCTGGGAGGACCCCAGACTGTTAGAGCTCTGTCCCCAGGAGACCTTGTGTTGGAAGAAGAAAGGGGTGGAAGGAAACCTCTCAGAGAGGAGCCCGATTCAGAGAAAGAGGGGTTGGCTACACCCTTCAATGTGAGGGATTTTTTTGTTTTGTTTTGTTTTGTTTTCTGCCAGCCTGCAACAGAGCTCATCCTTTAGGTTCACGCGCCACTCCCATTATCCCATTTATTTTTTGTTTGGTCCTGGTACCACTGTAAGAGTAGTTTGAAAAGCGGTTAATAGTACAAGTTCCGGAATGAGGCTCTAGCTTCTTCTGCGAAACACAGTGTAGTGGTGGGAATCTAGCAACGCTGGGTACAGCCCTTGCCGAAGTGTCGGGAGGTGTGCAATGGTACCTATGCTGTATTTTGGTAGCAGCAGCTGAGTTCCACCCGGTTTTCCTCAGCATTCCTCTGTTTCATTTGGGGCACGGATCCCTAAAAAGGTCCCTGAGAAGGAACTCAGAGTCTTAGAGCAAAGCAGAGGTGCTCACTGGGCAGAAACAAGGTATTGAAGGGGAAGACAAAGTGGGGAGGAGCCACGGGAAGAGGCTGGGTAGGAGAGAGGTTACTTGAACCTTTTTGCTAAGACCAGACCGGGAAAGCTCGGGTCCAGGGCTCAGGGTGTAGCTCAGCAACACAATACTTGCCTAGCAAGCACATCACCTGTTTCAAGGTTCTACTGGAGAGAAAGGCTAAAGCTTAGAGATGTCCTAATGACAGGTCTGCCCTAGAGGACAGGACCCCCGCCGCCACTCCATGTGACCATTCCCAAGTCATTGAATCTAGCTGGACCTGACGTTATTAGATCTCCTTGAGAGCAACAGCACTGTAGCCTGTTGTCTGACCTGAGAAAATCCAAGTCAGATCTAGATTATTTGCTCCTCCACACCCCACACCCCAAATGTGGGTGCTGATATGGGTGCTGTGGTGCCTCTACAAGATGTAGCTCAGCATCAGCTGGTTCTAGCTAGACTTTGGGGGCATTCTCTTGCCCCTTAACACTGACAGCACACGAGAGATTGATCTTAAAATGGTAAATACCCTTCAGTGACAAGTAGGCCTAATCTTCTGTTTTTAAAGTCAGGGTCTCACTGTGTAGCCTCGTCTGGCCTGGAACTCACTCTGTAGACAGCCTGGCATCAAATTCATAGAGTTCCATCTGTCCCCACCTTCCAAATGCTGGTATTAAGGGTATATGCCACCACACTCAGCCCCAGACGCTTGATTCTAGTACCTTTCCAGCCTCTTCTCAGGTCCCTGGAGGTCTCCCTTGGCCAGTTGCAATTTTAAGTGTGGGAATAGAACTTTGCAGCACCCTCTAGTCCCCCCAAATCAGACTCCTACATACCGAGTTAGGCGAGGGCTGCTCCAAATGTTTACTCTCTAGACTGGTTACTGGATGTATCAGGACGGTGCACCTCCTCGCTGGGCTCCAGATAGAGCAGGCTGGGCTTTCCCCAACCCACCCCATCTCCTACCAGATGCTCCTGGTCCAGCCACAGGAACGCCTCTCTCTCATCCAGAGTAAATTCAATCCAGTGTCTCTGCCCCCCGCTTGGATTTTATCTCAGATGTTGTGTTACACTCAGTCTCAGCTCTTGGGAGACCAATGTCATGTGAAGATCTTTCTCTGCTGCACTTAGTAGTACGTTTCCTTCTCCAGCCAGCCTGCGGAGAAGAGGCAAAGTGAGCTGAGAAGAAGGAGTAATCACGAGAGTCTGCAGGGGAGCTCCGCGGAAGGGCAGAGAAGGGTCAGGTGGAAAGCCTGCCATGTGGAACATGTGGAACAGGGTCCCCGAGCATTGGGGGGAACCTGTAGATTCAGGTGTAGAGGACGGGGTCCAGGAAGAGAAAAGGACAGACAGTGAGACAGAGAAAGTCAGTGGGTCTGGGGAAGCCAGATGGGATGGGAAAACTTGCTAGAGTGTTGGTGACCACTCTAGAGCAAGGTCCAGGGCAGCCTTACCACCAGGCCGTCTACGGATGATGAGTTTTCTGATTTCATCATAGATGAAGATGAGAACACTGTAGGGAAGGGCGCAGAACCACCAGTTTATCCTGCAGAGAGCAAGAGTTGGTTAGTGTGGCTGAAGATACAGGGTCCAGAGCAATGGTGCGTGACAATTATGGAGACTGAGCTGGGTGCTAGAGCTGGGGAGGTGAACTGAGATACAGTAGATGCTCCCTTTGAGGAGGTCAGAACCTGAGTGCTAAGGACTGGGGGTGGAGAGAGAAAAGACACAAGACAAATCTAAAATGCCAGTGGCAATACGATAAATGTCATGTCCAGAGTTAAAGGCAGCATTTAAAGAGGTTGTCAGCTGACTTTCATGAGCTGCTGAGAGTCTCTCCTTCCCCCTGCTGTTTTTCTGCATAGTCTAAGCCTTGCAATTATGGAAGGGAATATATACACTTATTTATGTGTGTCTATATGTACTCCCATACTGCCAAATAGACACTTTTTTTTTTTTACTACCTCTTTGAGTCTCTTCTATAATTAGGGACCAGGAAGATGAACCCAAGGAGTTTTATACCCTTGAGTGACAGAGAACTGTACATAAATCAACAGCCCTGTTCAACAGAAATATAACGCAAGGGTGGAAAGATGGATGGAGATAGTGGCTCAGTAGATGAAGTGCTTGTGGCAAAAGCCTGGTTACCTGTGTTCAGATTCCTAGGACTCATGCAAAACCCAGATGCAGTCACATAAGCCTCTGTGATCCCCTAATGGGAGATGGAAGGCAGAGGCAGAAGAAGCTGCAGACTCAGGTAGACCAGTTAGCCCAGTGCATGCAGCAGTGAACAACAGAGAGACTCTTGTCTCTAACAAGGTGAAAGATGAAGACTGATACCAGAAGTTGACCTCTGACCTCCTCATGTGTACCATGGTACTCAGGCACACATATCATATGCACACACAGATGGACACACAGAGACAAAGGAAAAAGAGAAAGAGAAGAAGATACTGCAAACCACGTGTGAAATTTAAAGTTTTCTAATATCTGTATTAAGATAAGTAAAACACAAGAACTTTTAATAATTTTATTTAATTCAATATATCCAAAATACCATTTCAACATGTGTATAATCAATATAAACATTATTTTGTTATGTTTTGTTTTAAGACCCAGTCTTTCTATATGACTCAAGCTGCCTTCAAACTTGTGATCCTCCTGCCTCAGCCTTTGAGTGCTGAGAAGCAGGCATAGATCCCCCCATGCCAATCAATAGAAACACTACTAATGAGAGTATAGATTCTTCTTTTAATACTAAATCTTGGAAATCTAGTGTATATCATGTACTGCTCACCTATCATAGCTCAGCTATTAAATATTCTTTCCTACCCTCTCTGCAGGATCTCATCATCCAGACTGGCCTTGAACTTGCTGTGTAGCCAAGCATAATCCTAAACTCCTGATCCTTCTGGCTCTATCTTTCAAGTGCTAGGATCACAGTCATACACCATGACCAGGTTTGAGATATAAAATTTTCAATGACTAAAAGGAAATACAGTGCAAAAAAAATAAAATTATCTTTTCCTTTCCTCTTTTTCCTTCCTTTAATTTTTTTTTAAAAATGTGGTCTTATGTTGCCAGGGTGGCCTCAATCTCCTCCATTGCTGGGACTGTGGATTATAGTGCTGCTCTATGTAGCCCATACTGTGTTTACAGACATATTTAGTGTTGCTTTAGTTTTTCACTTTAAGCAAGTTAAAATTACATATACATATTTTCATGCTCCTTAGTCATATTCAAGAGCTCAGTAGTCACATAGGGACAGTGGCTACTATATTGGACTGTGAAGACTTAGGTCGGGGCTCAACTGCTACACATACCACAAATATAAATGCTAATATGCAAACACCTTTTCATTCATTGGACAACATTTGTATGTACACCCTGAATCTGTGTAAGGTATCATGGAAACAAAAAATGATCACATGATGACTTTTTATATCAAGGAGTTCAGAGAGATAAGAGAAAAGAGATGGAGGGCCACACAAAATAGTTTTAGGTGCTATGTGCTGTGGCCAATGTGCATACAGAGTACAACAGGGCTCGCTTTCAGTTGTTACTGACATCAATGGCAACAAAAGCAAAGCTACTATTAAAGCATCCTTCATGAACCGACTATGTTCAGTGCTTAAAACTAAGTTCTACATGTAATTCTCAACACTCTGCCAGGTTCTATTACTTTCCCCAGCGCTGGAGCACAAGTCTAGGGTCTCGCCTATGTTATGCCTGTGCTGGTCACCTGCCAGGTGTGTGCTGTGGCTGAGGCTCAGAATAGCTGCCTATTTCCTCAAAGTCACAAAGCATAGAGTTGAGTTTCAACCTTGGGATTGTCAACGACTAAGGCTAGCCCCGTCATTAAATATTAGTTGAGTACCTATATTGTAGGAAGCAGTGTGTAAACACTGCAAGGGATGGGTAGGGGAACAAAGCTGCTGAAAATGTAAGAAATGAATTGGAAGAATATGCCTGTGCAGGTGACATGGTGGCAAGGGGGAAGGCACTTTGACTTCTTCCTTGGTAAGTTTTAGATTTATATTTTCAATGCTAGGGATACCGGGGCTTTGCACGTGCTAGGCAAGCATACCATCACTGAGTTACATCCCACAGTGTCTCTGTGTTTTTAGGATTACCAACTAAAACCAAGCAAAGTGGCACACACCTATAATCCCTGGGAGATGTTCAGGAGTTCAAGGTCATTATCTGCTACATAGCAAGTGCAAAGCCAGCCTGGGGACATAAGCATGAGACCCTGTCTTAAACACTGATAAGCATATATTAATGTTAAAGCAAAACATAATAAAAATCTGAGAGTTGACTAAGACAGGGAGCCAGACAATAAGAATTTCAGTATGCTCATTCTCATATATTAAAACAAATTGATATATTATTAATATTAATAATCTCATATATCAAAACATTCTCACATTAAAACAGACTTATATAATAACAAAAGTATTAGTTAAGCTAACCATAAATTTGGCTGTTTGTTTTGAGGCAGGGTTTCTACCCCAGGTTGGCCTCAAACTTACTATATAACCAAGGGACATGGGATGTCCTTCTGCATGTGTGTTGCTTTTATTGGTTAATGAATAAAGCTGTTTTGACTAATGGCTTAGCAGAGTAAAACCAGGTGGGAAATCCGAACAGAGATTGAAAGAGAGAATAGGTGAAGTCAAGAAGACACCGTGTAGCTGCTGAAGGAGAGAGATGGTTGGAATCTTACCAGTAGGCCACAGCCTCATGGTGATACACAGATTAATAGAAATAGGTTAATTCAGAATGTAAGAGCTAGCTAGAAATACACCCGAGTCACTGGCCAAGGAGTCTTGTAACTAATATAGTCTCTCTGTGATTATTTGGACGTGGGCAGCCAGGAAATGAACGAGCAGTCTCTGTTTACAATGATGTTCCTGATTCTACTTCCTGTGACTACAGGTATGCACTCCACCTGGTAAATTAGACTATTACATTAGGACTAAGAAATACGTATCTTCATCCAATTCCATCAGATGCCATCATAAAATTCCCCTCGATTAAACACTGCTAAGTCTGCTGAATTTGCAAGCCCAATGGCATGTGATCATTTGGCATAGTCTCTAATACTGCTCCTGATAAAGGTCATAGATTGGAGTGTGAAAGCATCTCCGAGTCACTGAGTGTAGCTCCATCGATCTGGGCAGTCCCCTACCTGGTGATTGTCCCATTCAAACACACATTTCCTCCCGCTTCCTCCCAAATGTTCCCCCAGTGTTGGCATCCCTTCCTTTACTCACCTGAGAGGGTACATTCGCAGGGCCACATCCATGCCTGGAGTGTAGGACAGGACAGCTGCCAGAAATGTCTCCTCAAAGATTCCAAACAATAGGACTTTGTTTCTGGGAGGAAAGATTGACGAGTATGATAGATGTGGGAAGAAAAGGCAAGGGATCGGCCTGTTTGAGCATGGAGAGGCTTGGTGGCTACTGGGGGACGCTCACTTCATGCCCTGCTTGAAGAGCGAATTTCGGCGGGTCTTGCAGATGATGAGGTCAGACCACTGCACAATCACAATGCTGATGAAGAAGGCCGTTTGGCATGTGTACTCCACCACCTTCCGCTGCTCGTAGGTCTGGGGGTAGGGTGGGCAGAAAAGTGACATCTGGGTCAGAGAGGAGTTTAGATAGACTCAAGAGTTCCTTACCTTTCTCACCTTCCAGAACCCAGAGTCCGAGCTTTGCTTTGCCTGGAATCTTCCAGCATGGAGTACATAGCTTTCTTAGCACTTTCTATACTGTATTTAATATTTGTGTATTTTCCCTACACGGCTGAAAGTTCTTTGTGTCCCTTCATCATACTTCGCCTATTGAATGTTGTGTAGAACGCCCCAGTAAGTACTAAATCCACTAAGTTAGAAATATGACTAAAGAAAGTGGACTTAGGCCCGCAGAATCCAGAGGTCATAGGTCAGAAGGGAAGGGAGATCCAGAGGGCAATATGAAGACAGAGTAGGGAGGAATGGCCCAAAAGAATGGTAGACAGAAGACTGGGGCCGTAGCTCAATTGGAGCGTGCTGGCCTAGCAAGCCCAATGCCCCGTTGGAGGGCAGACAGGAGGCAACTCTTTTATTCATTTCAAGGTTCTTTCATTTGTATTTTGTACATAAGGGACTTAGAATCTAGTAGGAGGCATAAAATTACTAACAATGCCAATACAATAGTTATAACAGAGAAGCCAAGGGCATTGTAGGAACACAGAAGAGGTGCATCTAAATTAGACTGGGGACAAAAAGCTGGAGAAAAGAGTCTAGGCTTAAAAACAAAACATGATTCTAAGTATATATAAGAAATTAATAGGTGAGTTTGCAAAATATTAACATAGCAACCATGAAACCACTTGGGATGTACCTAAAGTTGTGCTTGGATAGAAATAAAAAGGCTTATATGGCTAGAAAACAAAGGTAGAAAAATTATATGGGTATGGTGGTACACAACTTAAACATTAAACATAACAACATTTTGGAAGTAGAGGCAGGCTGATTTCCATATTCAAAGCCAGCCTGGTCTGCATAATGAAACATTGTCTCAAACAAACAAACAAAAAATCCAAACAAACAAAAATTTGATGAGCCAAAAAATGGAGCATAGGCCAAGACCAGCCAGCCTATCTGTGTGCCAGCGTGCGCTCCACTGCCTGTGACAATTCCTGTCATTGCTCAGAGAGTTTAGCATCTGACTCACTGCTACTCTGCTTCTGCTCCTGTCCTCATTTTTTGAGATTTAAATATTCATATTTATGAATAATCTTCCATTACCATGGCTTCCCATTTTTTTATCCCCTCTAATTCTGTTGCCTTTCACACTCTAACTGGGCAGCTTGTTCTTAGAGTTAAGCTTTAGATATTATCCTAAATCCTTTCCAGCACCTACAGTTTTCTGGAATTTAAATTTCAAGAATCTTTATCTTCCATGTTTACCCTTCCATCTCATTCTAGTATATCAATTTCAATATTTCCTGGTATTTCTTGGACTTACTTCAAATCTGTTAACTTGGTATGTTTTATGCACGCACACACTCATACACAACCACACACACACACACACACCCTCTCCTCCCCTAACTAGAGTAAACTCTGTAAGAACCATGGCTTATAGGCTGGGTGTAGTGCATACCTTTAATCCCAGCATTTGTGAGGAAGAAGCAAGAGGCATGTAAATGTGTTAGAGGTCATCCTAGTCTACATAGAAAAAGACTCCTGACTTGACCATTTTAGTTTATTATCGTATCTCCAGGGTCTAGGTCAGTTTCTGGTATCGGTTCTGATAAGTGGGATTTGTAGTGATGAGGCAAGCAGGCCTGCTTTTCATCCCGCAACAGATAGATAGAAGACCCACCTACATCATGGATTAATGAAAGTTGCGTAGCAGATAAGGAACTATTACTTTAACTGTAAGTGTCTGCTTTCTGGGTGGAGATCTTTCTGCTTTGCCATCATGAACTCTAACCCTCTGGAACTATAAGCCTAGAATAAACCTTTTCTTCTATAAGTTTCCTTGGTCATGGTGTTTTATCATAGCAATAGAAAAGGAGCTAAGGGAGGGGAGGAGGTGGAAATTTTTAATAAATAAAAAAAAGAAAGAAAAGTAGCTAAGGGGCTCAGGAGACGGCTCGGTGGTTAAGAGCAGTTGTTGCTCTTGCAGAAGAGCCAAGTTTGGCTCCCAGAACCCATATGATGGTTCACAACCTCACTTAAATCCAATCCAAGAGATACAAGGACCTTTTCTGACCTCCATGGGTCACATACACAGCACACACACATAAAATAAAATAAATGTAAAAAAAATAAAGAAAAGAAATGTAACTAAAACAGAAATTGGTACCAGGAGTAGGGTAATGCTATGGCAGACCTGCCCATGTAGTTTTCTTGGAGGAATAGGGAAGACTTTGGTACTTTGATCTGGAAAAATAGTTGAATGTTGTAAGCAAAGCTTAATAGGCAGGAGTTTTGAAGACAGTAGTAAGAGCTAAGTACAAGATCTATGTAGATTGTGGAGGCCTAGCTCAAGAGGTTTGAGAGTGCCAGGCAGAGGTGGTGCACGCCTTTAATCTCAGCACTCGGGAGGCAGAGGCAGGTGGATCTCTGTGAATTCGAGGCCAGGCTGGACTCAAGAGCTAGTTCCAGGACAGGCTCCAAAGAAAGTACAGAGAAACCCTATCTCGAAAAAACAAACAAACAAAAAATTTGAGAGAAGAATATTAGCCACTGAACTAGAGATGACTCTTGTGATATCTTGGCAAGGAATGTGGCTGCTTTCTGCCCCCATCCTAAGAACTTACCTAAGGCTAAATTTGAAAGTAACAGACTAATTTCTTTGGCAGAGGAGATTTCAAGATAGCCTAACACTGACTCTGTCTGTCACAGGGTTATTAGTAATCACTATTACATAAGCTGACAATAAAAAGAGGAAGTGTGGCAAAAAAAAGAAATACCAAGTGTACAGCTTGAGAAGAAAAAGCTTATCAGGACGTTTAATGTTGCCCCCAGTGTGCTAAAAGCAATAAGGAGACTAAGGAGAGACCTGATCTACATTGGGATAAAGGGAGGGGTGCCCTCAGGGTAAGATCCCACGTGCAAGGGAAGCATCAAGGAAGCATCCTCGAGATGTTGGAGATACCAGAGCCACAAGATGTCTGCCAAGGATTGTTGCAGACAGGGAGCAGAACCAGTCCAAGAATGAGAAGTGAGTTGCAGGCAGCAATGCTGGATAGGTGGAGTCATCTAAGCCCACTGACCCCAGACCCAGAGGTGTAGGATCTAGGGTTTTTCCTGTTGGGCTTCAATCTTACTTTGATTCAGTACTTCTTCACTACATACTGATTTCCTCCCTTTTGGACTATTAGTGTGTATTCTGTGCCTTTGTATGTTCGACATGTGTAATTTGCTTTTTGATTTTACAGGAGTTAACAGTTAGATTGCTTGCGTTTCAGAAGAAATTTTGGACCTTAAAACTGTGTTGAGACTGTGAAGGACTACTGGGGACTTTTGAAGATGGATTAAAAACATTTTGCCTTATATGGCCAGGAACCTATGGGGCCCAGGAAGTGAAATGTGGCGGTTTGAATGATAATGGTCCCCATAGACTCATGTTTGGATACTTGGTCTTCAGTTGATAGAACTCTTTGGGAAAGGTTAGAAGGTATAGCCTTGTTCCTGGGGGTGGGTTCTGAAGTTCCTCCTGTCATCCCCCTGTGAACTCTTCGCCTCCAGGTGTGGTTCGAGATGTGAGATGTGCATTCTCAGCTGCTGCTACTGCTGCCACTTGCTACCTTTGCAGGTCTTCAGTGTGTAAGGCAAATTCTTGTCATGTAAAATTATTTTTAATTAAATTTAATCTATTATAAATAAGTATCATGCCACATCTTGGCCACAGGGAAGGTAAAACTGACAAGAGCTTGAGTTGAGGGTAGGGGAGACATTGGTCTGGTGAACAGGAGGGATTTTGGGTACCACTGGCTGCTGGATCATTGGAAGTTCATCATCATGGACTTCTGATGGCTCAAGGGGTTCCAAAAGCAGAAGTCACAAGTATGTAAGAGATATATTTTCAACAACTAAGATTTTGAGACAAGGACTCAAGCATATAGCCTAGGCTAACCTTGAACTTGCTATGCTCTTAGGCTGACCTTCCATTTGTGGTAATCTTCTTACCTCAGCTTCCCAAGTGCTGGGGTTATACTACCACACTTGGGTGACTTCCTCAGTCTAACCAGTTGCTATCAGACCCTGCCCTTTCTACTTACCCACTGCTGTCCAAAGCTGTCTTCTAGGTCATTTATGCTTGCATCATCCCAGTATAGACGGATACCCAGCAGATCCCAAGGTTTAAAACCGTTCTCTGCCAGGATCACAAAATAGGTGAAGAATCCAGCCAGTGCCTGTATCATCCCTGTGAATGACAGCCATAGGGGAAGAGAGTCTGTTCAGAGGCAAAGACATATCGCTGAAGCAGTGGGCTGGTCCTTGCTACTAGCTGGGTTAGTGATGAAGATTCTTGTCATCAGTGCTCTGAGCCTGCCATCTCTGAGAGACTTGGTTCCAAACCCTGACATTTGTTTCTACACTCCAAGCCAGCAGAGCTGAGCCACCTTAAGCCCCCTCTGACACCAAACATGGAGCTGTAGGATTTAGAGTTTGCCCTGCTGGGTTTCAGTCTTGTTTTGGTCCAGCTAGGATCATCTTTGACGCACATATAGTTTTCACTGTGTGTATGGTCGGGGGAGGGGATATTCATGGTGCTGACAGAGGCCAAAAGAGGGCTTCAGATCCCCTAGAGCTGGAGTTACAGGTAACGGGAGCTGCGAATCGAACTTGGGTTCACTGCAAGACAGGATGTGCTCTTGACCACTGTGCCATCTCTCCAGCTCTTGAATCAAATAATTTTAAAACTAAAAAGGACTTTGGTATCAATTCGTTCTTTCTCTCCCCTGAGTGATGGCCGGGCATCAGCAATCACTATAATAGTAACATTTGCCTACGTCACAGAGCTTTGCTTTGCACACAGGTTCTTGTGGACATAGCTCCTCCCGGCTCTGAACTGTTGTCCTAAGGAGGAAAATCAAAACCCATGACTCAGTTGTCTTCTGAGCCCTAGAGGCAAGCAAGCAGTGAATCGGGTCTCCAGCGGGTCTGACTCCTACGTCACTGCTGTTCAGACACATTTCCTTCCCTGAACCGTTTCTTCTGTCTCTAATCTCTTCCCTATCCATCCCCACCTTACTCTCTGAAACACTCCATCACACTGAGCTGGTAAAGGACAGAGACCTTATATGGTTCTTACATTTTTTCAAGGTTGGTCCCAGTGTTATTGCTAGTAGCTACAGCCTTCTTTTCCATTACTTCCTGATCAAGACTAAACACCACTAAAACAATTTGCCCATCACTAACTACACCTTGTGAATTTCCCTTCTCTGCTGGCTCAGCATACTTGCCTACCTACTTACTAGTCCAAACCTTATCTTCTGTCTTAAGTTGTCTCCTCCCTAAAACCTCTGTCTCTTCAAAACTGGTGAGCTAGCATGCTGTGTGCTTCTGTAGCACACTACGTCTTTACTTCTTGCTTAGCATGTGAAAGGCGTAATGCTATCATTTTATGTAGGTTTTTCTTTATCAGTGGTCTTTATGGGCAGATCAGAGACCAACAGTTCTTTGTGGTTCCAGGGCTAAGCAGTTTGTTGTTGAGAAACTATCTTCCTGACTTCTAAACAGAGGTGTCTAAATGGCCAGGCAAGGCGACCCTCTCCTTCCTTCCACCCCTCACTTCTCTGGGCTCACCGATCTGCCCATAGGCCATGCCAATGAGCCGGTGGTTCACAAGATTGTCAGTTTTGGGGTTCCGGGGAAGCCTCTTCATGATGTCACTCTCAGGTGTCTCATAAGCCAAGGAGATTGCAGGGACCTGGAGGGGGCAGGGTGGGAACGACAGGTACAGGTACACAGAGACAGTCTAGCTTCGTCCCCTCTTGTGATACATTTTTCCCTATTTTGACCTATCTTGGGAGTTCCCAGAGTGAGAGCCGGTGCTCACCATGTCAGTGCCCAGGTCAATGCAGAGAATGGTAATGGTACCCAGAGGCAAGGGTATACTTAAGACGATGAACAGCAGGAAGGGGGTGATCTCAGGAATGTTGCTGGTCAGGGTGTACGCGATGGACTTCTTCAGGTTGTCAAAGATGAGACGACCTGGAGAGGACGGCCAAACGTCTGTGAGCTGCGACCAGAGGACACGCCTCCGTAAAGCAGCTCCTGCACAGCGAGACTGCTAGCAAGGAGTGGTCCATGAAAATGTCTGCAAGTCCAAGAACTTGTGGGCGGGTCCATGTTTTGTCTGTAAATTGTGTGACCATCAAGCAAAGCCATGATTTATTAGCCATGGTCTGACTTTGCACTCTTGGCTCTTGGATTCAACATGGCTAGTGTTACCTGATCTCTGAAAACTAGCAAGGTTGGGTAGAGTTAATCCTGGAGGTGTCTGAGAATGCCAGGATTAAAGACTTTGCAAGATTATGACTGAGTGGAAAGAACCTAAGCTTGGTATAGGCTTGGGTTTGAATCTGATTTTCTGCCTTACTTGTGACCTTGCTCTCCCCTTAGGTCTCTCAGTGCAACTTCTCCTGCTTTGCAAGATTGCTAAGTCCTTTTCTTAGCTACCCTTCTAAAGGCTGTCACCCCTCCCTAAGCCCCATGCTTTATTTTTTTCCCATTGCTTTAACATACTACGGAATTTGCCTTGTTTGTTGTCTGTCTCTCCCCACTACAGAGTAAATTGTATGTGAGCAGGAATTTCCGTCTTTGGTCTCCTGTATCGGGATAGTACCTCGTAAATGGTGCTCAGAAAAAAAAAATATTGAATTAAATAGATTTAAAATACTGTCAGATTCACACTAGATTTCAATAAAATAGATTAGCGTGTCTTAGTACGACAGTTTTAGATGGAAATGAGGGAGCCTGGCATGGAGCCTATGGGGTTCTTCTGTTTCAATGGGCATTCTCTTTAGAATTCTGTGGAAAAAGGGTAATTGGGTTCATGATGTTAATTTGCAGATACTCTCCAATTGATCTTAACATGTCCTTGTAATTCAGGCAACAAGTTCCTAGGGGTCCCTGCTGAAGACTGAAGCATTGAGTTTCCCAGGGTATGGCTACCCCTAAAAACTTGTAGTGGATACACTTGAATTCCCGTGAGACCATAAAGAAAGAACGGTGTTATGTCAGAGTCTAGGTCTCCCTGGCAAATCTGGAAACCTTCCAACTTTGTCTTTAAAAAGAACAGCCTTAAGGATTAGCTGAGTCTTTTTTTTTTTTTTTAAATATGGGTCCTCTCATGTCACACAGGCAGGCCTCAGAATTGCTCTGTAGCCAAGGATGACCTTCAAGTCATGCTCCTCCTGCCTCCCTCTTCAGAGGGCTGGGGTAATGGGATCTCAAGCCAGAGCTTTATGCATGCTAACTAAGCAGTCTACTAATGTAGCCAGGTTCCTCCAGCCCAAGATAAATGGACTTTTCAAGATTTTTTGCGGTCCATACAGGATTAGAAAGTTGGATGGTGACCAAAGGCAATGAAGGTAATGTACACTAAGCCCCATTCCGAGGATCAAGTCCCACTATTAGGTATCTGGCCTCCTCACCCTCCTCCACGCCTGTCACGATGGAGGCAAAGTTGTCATCGAGGAGAATCATGTCAGCGGCCTGCTTAGAGACATCAGAGCCAGTGATGCCCATGGCAATGCCGATATCGGCCTTCTTCAGCGCGGGGGAGTCGTTCACCCCGTCACCAGTCACTGCCACAATGGCTCCCTGGTGAAGTCCAGACAAGAGTGAAAAGAACACGTGTTAGATGCAGGCAGGATCAGTCCCAAATAGCAATTTGATCCCAGCATCTCATTCCTTAATACTTGTTTGATTTGTCTATGCTCGGCCCTGTCTCTGCTCCCCTGAGCTATGGAAGCTTTCCGAAAGCTTCCGAACTAAAGGCCATCACTGAGACTCAGCATGGAATTCTCTCCAGGACTCTTCTACCAAGCCCACCTGTTGCCCCACTGGGTGGCTGGACTCTGCCAGGCTCCCTGGGATGCCTTGACTCCCTTACCAGTCTCTGACACCCCTCTACAATGATGAGCTTCTGCTGAGGGGAGGTCCGAGCAAACACGATCTCCTTGTAGGACTTGAGGATATGGTCCAGCTGTTCTGAGTTCATGTCCTTAAGTTCTGAGCCGTGCACTACAATGGCTTTAACAGACCTACGGGGAGGAGTTTCCAAAGGCTAGATCAGAGTGCTGGGGACTCACCTTAGGTTCCAGTGTTCTCTGCGGAACCCTTAAGATCTGGTTTCCTTCCCGCCCAGTCTTTTTGTTCCTCAGTGTGTAGTGTCCTCAAACTGACTCATCCCATCCTTGTCCCCCCCTTGCCAATCCCTCTTCCCTTTGCCTCTATTTCTTTTTCTGTCTCCTCTGAAAATGCAGCGTGCAATGACTGAATCATTTAAGTCACTTCTCTGTTATTTTTTTTTTTTTGGCAGAGTGTATATACCACAATCCTACTTGCTGAAGGAGACTCCAGAACTTTAGAAAGTGATTTGATGGTACAGGTTGATGATAGAGGAGGAAATGTCAACTCTGAGTGCTGTTGGGGTCTCACTTGGTATTGATTTGGCTGATAGGGACATTAAGTCGAGTAGCCATGTCCTCTGCTGTCTCGTTGGCTTCTGAAATGATGCCCACACTTTTGGCAATAGCTTTGGCAGTGATGGGATGATCCCCTGTTACCATGATTACCTAGGCGGGGAGAGGGAAGGAAAAGGAGAATGTTTTAGCTAAGATCTGGATCCATTACCCCCAAAGTAACAGCCCATTTAGAAGCTCAATTCCAAGCACAACTCATGCAGGCCAAGAGCCATGCTACTGTGGTGCCAGTCCTTGGAGGGAGGCAGGGATGCCAGCTGATATGACACAAATCCTTCAGGTTCTCTACTGCCCAGGAAGAAGTCAGTGACTTGGAAATACTGCAGAGTTCAGAATTCCATCCAATTGTTCCAGAAGCTGTTTGCAACTTTAAGCAACAACACAGAAGCGCATACCAAAGAAAAGGAATGTCTGGAATAATCTGTTGCCTAGCAAAACTTCACCCAGGCCCTGGGCACACAGAGCCTCTCTCTGCCCGTTGCCTTGCCTGGTCCTACACTTTCTACTTGGAGGCTAGCCGTGTCCCTTTCCTACCCAAAGATGAGGTTCTTGTGCCCTACGCTTTCATAGCATTCTGCTCCTCCGTGTGCTACCACTTGGCCCTTCTCTCTGTGTGCCCTCTTCCCCACTGGCCGGAGAGCTTTGTGAGGGCGATACGGGCAGGTACTCTGCCCCTCTGCGGTGGCCTGCACTTAACAAGTCAACAACACAGAATTCCAGGACAAGAAATGAAGGGGTGGATGGAGGCTCCCCCAGAAGCTCCTCCTCAAGGATCCCAGCTGCCCTCTAGGCAGCCATATAATTTTCCAAGCTCTGACTGGGAAGGAGAAGCAAAACACTGACAAATCAGAAACAAAGAAATCACTGCTCCCAGGAACAAAGGTCAATATGCTTTCAAGGCATGGGAATATGCACAGCAGTGGTTTTCCTCGAAGAACCAACTGTAGGGTTTCCCAAACCCCCATCCTTCTGAAACGCTATCACCACCCCTTGCTTGATGGAAGAAGGCAGCAAAGCTAGCTAGGCTGTAATTACCAAGGACTTGGGGAGACCGCGCTGAGCTGGTGTACCAAGCCCTAATGTTGATTGTTCAGCCTTGTTGTGCGACAGTGGATCATCGGGAGCGTGGCCTGGGGGTTGCATGATGGCGAGGATCTAAGACGGACCCACAAGAGGACTGTCTACATGTGGCCGCGCCCTTCGCCATGTGATTCTGGGTTGCACTGTAATCTAAGTTTTCCAGTGTCTCATCAATAGTGGCCTAGGACCTGCCTCCCAAGGCATGCTGCCCCCCTCATACATTCCTAGTGTCTCACCATGTTGGACCATTTTATAGACTGTTATCTAGTGGCTTCAGCCATACTACCTCCCTGCCAAGTCAGAGAAATAAAAATACAATGCTCTTTCAAGAGTGAGTTCCTCGGACACAATTTTACTAAGCCCCCATACACTCATATATGAGATACACTCATACACTTGGAGTGCCGTTATACAAAAAAAAAAAAAAAATAGCTCCCTTTGAAGTGAAGGGGATCCAGCTGCTTTTGGAATGCATCAGGTTCTGGAAGAATTTAATTCCCAACATGTTGGTGCTGCCTATACCTCTTATGTTTCCACACCATTGTACCAGCTACCCTATGCTCCCTTCTACCATCTTCCCCCAGTCTAGACCATCTGAAAGAAGCCTTCAAATGCTGGTAAGGAAACTATATTCCTTGGGCAGCTTTCAAAGCCTGACTTCTCTGTAGAGGGAACCAGGGTTATAATGTGCCAAGTATCTCCATTCTACTCAAGTATTAATGATTAATATGATGAAATTATTTTTTAATTTTTTTAAAATCACATTTATTTCAAAGTCATGGGCATACAGCTGTCTGTCTAATCCTCCAATCATTTCCCCGTAAAAGGCTTTGGGAGTCATGCAACAATGATACGGTTTCTTTTATTCAGTAGTCTGTGACAGTCATCAGACCTGTGTCACCACCACTTGGTGGGGGGATGGTGGTTCGGGAAGGGTTTGCTTCAGAACAAACTCCTACGTGTCTATTACATTTTGTACATTTTGAGAGATGTTGCTATCCTTCTGTCTTATACTTCCCTACCGGGAGAGGGAATGATTCACAACTCCTCACTGAGCCTGCTAACTTCCCATCAGGCTAGAGTGCAGACGGAGGTACACAATTGTAGTGAGACCTACAAACAGGCCCCAAACAAGAGCTGTTCAGACAGCATTGAGGCCTCCTAGCTCATGGCCAGCCCTACGAGTCCTCACAAACCATAATGAGCTGGCTGTGCCTCAGGTTGTGGTGATATCCTGATCTTTTGGGCATCCTGATACGTATTACTTCTTCGCTCCCTATTTGGGCCTCTCCACCTGTTGGCACACTTGTGGCTTTCTTCCTGTCAGAGAGATCCACAAATCCCCAGATGAGATAAATTGCTGGCTATAGTCATAATATTATTCCTTGTTCTAATAGTCTACCTCTAAGCTCAGAAAACTCAGATGAATGCTTTCTTCCACAATATGGGAGGGTATCTTACAGCACTTTGGGGAAACATCAACATTGGTTATTGTATGGAGATGTTCTGTAATAATGCCATCTCCTCAAAGAATTTACTGCCTCGGTGGTTTTGTAAGGTGGTGATTAAAAAATTGATGCAACCTAATTTTCCCCCATCGTTTCTTTAGTTCCACCGCAGGGAACCACTATTTAACTAACCATTGCTCAGGACGACTCTTAGACAAATTGCCAACAGTCGCAGGTCTAATGGAAGAGCAGCTCCAGCTGAGAGACTTACTCCCGCAAAGTGCCTCCAAGGTCTCTGCTCCAGCCAGTTCTTCCCACGTCTAGAGGATGCAGCTGGTTCAGAATATAAGGTAGGAGCAGCAAGTGCCAGTATCTAATCTTTTAAGATGTGAGTCTTGGGCCAGTGCTTAGCGGATACAAGCACTTGCTGTACAAGCCTGACAACCCGAGTTCAAATCCTGAAGCACCCAAGGTGGCAAGAAAGAATTGACTTCCAAAGCTTTTTCTCTGAACTACCCATGTGCATCATGGCATGTGTGTTCCTCACTTACCTATGTACAGATACACACACAATCATTCAGTCAACGTTTAAAAAAAATTATATGAGCCTTTGACCTAGAAACATGAATAGACAGAGTCTCAGAAATGGGAAAATTCCATTCTGCCTTCCTATGACAGCCAAGATCCACCTCACCAGAGACTTTCCACTTCCGGGTCTGCGATAGTGGAGTTCCACTTTCAGTTTCAGCTTTTCTTGGAGGGTCAGGGGTTTGCAGCTGCTCACTGTCAGGGGTTTGCAGCTGCTCACTGCACGTCAGCTCCCCAGCTCGCTTCATGGCTCATCCTCACCATTGCCTGCTCCAGCCACCAGGCATCTTAGCCTCACAGTGTTACCGTCCATCCCAACACTAGCTCCTCTTATCGTCTGTAGGGCAGCAGTAGCGTGGTATAGGAGCTTGTTCAAAATGTACAACCTTCAGGGGCCTCCTAGATCTACTGAATCAAGATAGGAGATGGGGGTGGGGTGAGGAGAGAAAGACAGGGAGAGAGAGAGAGAGAGAGAGAGAGAGAGAGAGAGAGAGAGAGAGAGGAAAAAAAATATTCCCACACTGGGCTAAGAAGTACTGCTTGACAGTGGTTTCAAACTGTGTGGTCATTAGAATTTCCAGAAACTTTTAAGTACTGATGCCTGAGAGCCCCCATCCTGGGGTTTGTCTGAGGTTTAGCTTAGTGTTTTCATGCTTCCTTGGTGATTCGAACTATCCGTGAGAGACAGGCTTCTGGGGGAAACATCCTAGGCCGAAATCAGTCGAACCGAGGTTAGTGGGCACCTACTCTGGGCCAAGCTTTCTACTACTTGCTCCACCTTGTGCCGGGTGAGGGGCTGTGGGGGAGGGCAGGAATTTACCTTAATCCCTGCGCTTCGACACTTGCCCACAGCCTCAGGCACAGCAGTTCGAGGCGGGTCGATCATGGATATGAGGCCCGCGAAACACAGATTTTTCATGGGAAAATTTATTTCATCTGTATTGAACTGGAACCCCTTAGAGAAGTTGCTAGGCAAGTTCAAGAAGCAGAACCCTGGAGAGAGAGAAGAAGGGCCCAGCTGTCATTCTCACGCTAGCCACACACCCACTAACGGTTACTTTGATGGCATTCTTTCAAAGCCACCCCTAGCCCCCATGGCTCCTCACCCAGCACGCGCTCTCCCAGACCTCCCAGTTCTAAGTAGGCATTTTGGAAGTCTATCTTCATTTCCTCATCCATAGGGTACTCCTGCCCATTCAGCATGAAACTGGTGCAAAAATCCATGATCCTCTCGGGAGCACCCTTCATCAGCAGCACATGGGCTTGGGAGTTATCTTCCAGAAGGTGGATGGACATCTAGGGAGGGGGGACGTAGTGAAAGAGCCGGGCGAGGGGGGGGGATAGAGAGGGAGGGGAGGCACGGGGCAAAAATCCGGAGGGATTTTTAAGATTTGGTAAGACTCTGACAGCCTGTTTCATATCCACCTCCCACCCTCAATCAGGCCAAATCAGACTCAAGCAGAGCCCAGTCCAATCGTTTGCACTGGAACCTAGTGTCTGCTCAGAAATTCTCCAAAAGCATAGCAGGTACTCTCCTTTCTCCCCGATTACTTGCTGATTGGATGGCTGATTGGATGGTGAGTTCGAAGACCAGTGTGTTCTTAAACCAGAATCATGTCTTATCTACTTTGTGAGCTCAACTAAGGTCAGTCAAGCCTGAGAAACCTTAGTTCCTTCCATAGAGGGTGAACACACCTTGCCTACTTTATTGGGCTTCTTCTTTTTAAATGACTTATTTTTATTTTATGTGCATTGGTGTTTTGCCTGTGTGTGTGTGTGTGTGTGTGTGAGAGAGAGAGAGAGAGAGAGAGAGAGAGAGGTGGGGGGTAAAATCACTTGGAGCTGGATACAGCCAGTTGTGAGCTGTCATGTGGGTGTTGGGAATTGAACCTAGGTTCTCTGGAAGAGCAGTCAGTGTTCTTAACCACTGAGCCATCTCTCCAGTCCCCTTTATTGTTTGTCTGTCTGTTTTTAAGGAGAGATGGTTGTAAAACAAAAGTGAGCAAGCAAGCAAACAAACAACCCCAAACACTGAAACTGAAACACGAACAAAATAATTTAGCCATAGCCATTCTTCTACAGGCTGGAGTTGCCCCCAAGGAAGACTGCGTACTGGCTGGCTGGATGCCTGATAGTGGAGGGTAAGTAAGGTATATGTTTATGACCCAAATCTGCAGAGACCACACACCAGAGGGAGCAGTCAGGTGGCTTGTGTTTAGCCTTTCCCTCGAGGAGTCCCTGTAGAGTTCCTCGTTTGACTTATAGGAACTGCCTGCTGTGGCCCCTGTTGGAGACTGAATCAGCAAATTGAGAGGAACTGTGGGAACACTGAGGAGGCCAGACAGCACTTCCGGGGGACGTGGGGTGAGCCACTGGTGCGTAAAATGTGACTACGACTGATTGGCTAGAGAATTAGTGCGTTCAAGATGTGCTTAAGTGGTTCAAAGGGAAAATCTTGTTTAAAGCAGGAAGTTGTAAGATTGACAAAGCTCAGTCATCTCTGTGCTCAATGAATCTTTGCTGAATGAATAAAAGGCTCAGGTGAGCACAAGAGCTTCTCACTCATCAACTTGGTCACGGGGAATAAAACTGGATAGAAGATTATAGATAGGGGCTTACAAGATGGCTCCACAAATAGAGATGCTTGCGGTCAAACCTGAAGACCTGAATTTGATCCCTGGACTGACAGTGGAAGGGGTGGACCAGTTCCCACAGATCATCTTCTGGTCACACAGAAATGCTCAGACTAGAATCTATTTGATTTCCATTTCAGAGATGGGAAGAGACCAAGCTCTGCAAACGACAGACAGGCTAAGGAAGACACATTCCTTTCCAAGACTGGAGTCTTTGCCCTTGGAGCAAGCTAATTATAGCAGTTCGCTAAGTCGGCCAGAGCTAATGTCTGCTGGGGCTGAGTCCGGCGGATTGGCCTGTCACACACGTGTACCACAGAGACCAGTTCTGCCACTTGAATGCTATTCAGTAGCTCAGAGACACTCATACAGTAATTTTGGGGAGCATGGTTGCTTGTCGGACATCCCAACAATGCCATGAATATGCCCGACTTTTATTTTTAACCACGTAGAGGGAGAGGTACCTAATTCATCCAAAGACTTTACTTGCACTCTGCCAAGCCACAAAATTCCTGTCTGGCTAGCAAGGCCACCAAGTGTCAGGGGGAATAAAAAAAGTGGGACTAAGGGTTGTAGCTTATTTGCAGATCTGGGAGATCTGTTTTATTAAAGTGACTGAGACAAGTTTAGACAGGAAGTATGGACCTACTTATCTCTTAGGGTTCCATCAGAAATTAATAGTAATTGAATATTAAGAAATCTATATAGACTGTGATTATGTTGCTATGTCTGAAGACATAAAGTCTAAACTGACTTATGAATCTTATTTCCATACACTCATATGTCTGGTCTTCATGGAAATACAAGGAATTGAAATGCTTGAATGAACTGGCCTGGTCTGCCTCCAGTTGTAGAGAGGCTTTTCACTGTCCCCTACTTTCTACTGAAATCCTGTCTTCAAATTAGGCTTGCATTCTTGCTACCACCATGGGTTATTTTGACTTTTCTTCTTCCTTCTTCTTCTCCTCCTCTCTTCTCCTTCTTTTTTTTAGACAGGGTCTCATACTATAAGTAAAGCTTCCCTTGCACTCAGGGTAACACTCCTGCCTCAGCCCCATCCTCCATGCTGAGACTATAGGCATGACCCACCATGCATAGCCTCTCCGGATTTCATTGTTTGTGCCACTGGCCATGACTCAGCCTTTCCCTTTCCTACCTGCTTCCTCCCTGGATAATAAATCAATGCTTTTAGAAAATAAAAAATATGACACATTGTACCGGTGACCCCTAACTGCCTCACTGATGGCCGCACCAGAACTTTATGGAGGGAAAAGGGCTATTTGATGGCTAAGGAAACAGAATGGCTTGCGGACAGACTTTTGTCTACATAGCAGACACTGGCATAGACTAGTCATAAACAAAATAGCTGTTTGTGACTCCGATGTGACTCCCACCAGCCAACCTTGACTGCTTCCGTCTCAGCAAACTTGGAACTTGCTCTGTAGACCAAGCTGACCTAGAACTCACAGAGATTCACCCGCCTCTGCCTCCTGAGTGCTGGAATTAAAGGCGTGCGTCACCCACCAGCCTCAGTGAGCCTTGTAAGATATGCTTTCGTTGCAAGTGGCAGGGGTGAAAATTCCACTAGGAACGATTCCCTTGTCACCTAGTTCTCCTCTCTTCACTGCCACTTTCCTGGAGGTGAGCATTCCTCCTAGTTGTCCTGCTGGCTCTCCAGAGCTATTGCCCTGCTCAGAAGTACAGCAGAAGCCAAGGCATAGCTTCCCTACCGCGAGTCCACGCTGTCCCCCATACCCCGCCCGCCATTCTTCTACCTTTCTGGGTTCTGTACCTGGTACTTGTTGGTAGAATTAAAGGGGATCTCTGCCACCTTAGGGTTTTTCTGTCTCATTTCATTCACAGGGCTGTAAGATTGTTCAATGAATTTGAGGAGCGCTGACTCAGAAGCATCCCCTGATGTTGCCCGCTGCAAGGAAGGATTTGGATGAGCCCCAGGGGTACACCATTTGGGCATAGGATTTACCTGTGGTCTCAAGGAGAGAGGCGGAATGGGGGAGGAAAGGGGGTGTAGAAAATCACCGAGGGCGGGCAGAGAAGCAGACTTTTTGGGAAGAGGGGCAGAAATATACTCGTCACTGAGGTACCCGCTTCCCATTTGATACCTTAGCTATGGGAACAGATTCCTGATGAGGCCTAAAGTCAGCCCGGTTACAGAGACCGGCAATTCGAGCCAGGTGAAACCAGGTGTCCGAGGACTTGGGAAATGTTTTCCCTAGGGAGGAAGGAAATGTTAACAAACAGAATTTAATACAAGGGATTACACTTGTGGGGATAGGTAGGGGATTAGGAGGTTCGAGGTCATCTCCAGCTACTTATTGAGTTGAAGGCTAAACAAACACGGAAGCTCGAGGTTATTGAGGTCATTCGTATTCTCTTTAACAACCAAGTACCGCCTCCTCCCATCACCAGGTTCCAGCTGTCTCTGGTTTGCCATTCTCCTAATGATCCCAGCCCAAATCCTCCTCCTTTTGGCTACCCACGCCACTAGTCACCGGTAGTTTGTTCCTCACTGGTGTCGGCCTCATACACAGTCTTATCAAACCACAAGTGGGCCACGGTCATGCGGTTCTGGGTGAGGGTGCCCGTCTTGTCTGAGCAGATGGTGGAAGTGGAGCCGAGGGTCTCCACTGCCTCCAGGTTCTTCACCAGGCAGTTCTTGCGAGCCATGCGCTTGGCGGTCAGGGTCAGGCACACCTAAAGTCACCAAAAGAGGCAAGAAAGGATTGAGGGGGAGGACTACTCACGTCATTTTGCTTTGGAAATTCAGTCGTTTTTTATTTCCCTTTTATCCTTGCCCAGTCTTTAGAAACCCCACCTGTAATCATCATATTGAATATTGAGGGAGTGATTTCGATGTGTACTTTCTAGCAAGAGTTTCAGGGTCTTCCTTCACCAGCATGGCTGTCACAGAGCACAAAGTCCTTCCCCAGAAGGTGTTTAGACCTCTATTCAGTAGCCTCTCTCCATCCTGGGCTGCTTCCTCTCTCTCAGATCCAGTCTCTCCAAGGACCACACAGAGAGGTAATGCTTTATTATGGCATACAGCGCTGTGTATGGACCTGGGCATTTTGCCAGTAGTTTCAGAAAAGTTTGGCAGGAGGGAATGATAATATTGGGAAGCAATGTCACAGTACTGAAAAGTCCTTGAGAAATCACTTAAATCAGAAAGTGTTTGTTAATCATAAACCGAATGCAAGGTTGCTTTAAAAACGAACATATTATTGTGTTGTGGATATGTAAGTATAGAATTCCAATTATGGAACTGCAATCACTAGTCCCATTGTTTTAAAACCAGTCCAAACACACCCTAAATGTTGTTCTTATTTCTATTTTAAGAAGAATATTGAGAAGCTAGAGTATACCCCAAACAAGCTGTTAGTATGACAGAAGAATGGTTAAGGAAAAGATTACCTAGAGAATCTGAGGGGGCATGGTGACTACATCCAAGGGGGTGGGAACTAGAACATAGGAGACGGAGAATCAACTTATTTTGGTTGGCAAAACTAGGATGAAATAGAGAATCATATTCCTGCTCAACACAGTGAAATTTAACCAAGTGATCCAAGAGCAAACTAGGCAGAGACAAAGAGGAGCTATGTTCTCCATGCTCAGAGAAAACCACACAATTATCCTCCACGGATCTTTATAGAGGACATTCGGTGTTGCCTCAAAGGTTCACTTTAAATGGCCTTGAAGTCCTTTCCAGCGTGAGTCTGTAATTCCAAATTAATCTTTCTCTAAAAACCTTGAATATTTTTGAAGTATTGGATACTTGAAGCCCAGAGATCTGAACTGATTTGGCCTAGTTTAACAGCTCGAGAACAGAATACCCTTTTTCTCTCTTGCGCCTTGCTTCCTCTTTCACCGAGGAGAAAGAGGTGTGGGTAGAGGAAGTCAGTGCAATGTTGGAAGCTAACTGCTCACTCTTAAGATGTTCAACAACAGTCAAATCCATACGAGTGGCTTCATTCCCCTGGGGCTACTTGTCTGCCCAGAGGCCACCCCCCACCTTGTTGACTCACAGTGACAGTGGCCAGCAGCCCTTCGGGCACATTGGCCACAATGATGCCAATCAGGAAGATGACAGCATCCAGCCAGCCGTAGCCCAAGATAAGCGAGAGTGAGAAAAACGTGATGCCAAGGAAGATGGCGACAGCTGTGATCAGATGGATGAAGTGTTCGATTTCAGCAGCGATGGGGGTCTGGCCTAGCGCCAAGCCAGACGTCAGGGAAGCAATTCGGCCCATGACTGTGGAATCTCCTGTAGCGATCACAATACCCCGGGCTGTTCCTATGGATGAAGGGAGAAGCCGTGATACCATACCATGGGAAACTAAGAAATGCCTGCATTGCTATCTTCTCCCAGTTATTGACATAGAACTTCTAAAATCCTTAGATTGGAAGGCTAGGAGAATCTTTTGTTATTATAATTGGTTCCTAACTCTTCATAGTTTCTGGAGTGATAGAAATTGGTATAGAGCTTCTAAACGCCATAGAGTTCCCTAGGTGGTAAGAGAAATTTGTGTTTTACTGAGGCAGCTCTTGGTGGGTGCTTGGCCAGCCACAGGAAGATGGATTTGCCTGGAAGTCAACCATGTAGTTACATGGTGGGCTTTCAGTTCTACAGTCCAACTTCTGAGAAGAGTGAGGCTGAAGGCTGAGTTGATTGCCAATAGCAAATGTTATAACCAGTCATGCCTATATAATAAAACACCCATTAAAAAGCCAAGACAACTGGGTTTGAAGAGCTTCCAGACTGGCAACACATGGAGGTGTCTGGAGGATGGCATCCTCAGAGAGGACCCAAAAGCTCCACCCAGAGAACATACAGAAGCCCACATGCCATTCCCTACGCATTTCTCCCTTCTGGGTGTTCACTTGTTCCTATCAACTGTAAGAGATGGGAAATGTTGGCCAAGTGCTTTCCTGAGGTCTGTGAACCTCAAGAAAGAAGTCATGGGAATCCCAGTGCACAGTCAACCTGTCAGAAGTATGGATGACAACCTATTACTTTGGATTAGAGTCTGAAGCAAGAAGAGTCCCATGGGATTGAGCCCTCATCTGATGCTATTTTGAGGCAGTTAGTGTCAAAATTGGACTGAGTTTTGGGGAACTGATAGGGAATCTCTCCAGTAGGACACAGGATTCTATGCAGACAGAAATAGTAAGGGTGTAAGCCAAGGCCTGCTAAGCATCCCACAGGGCACAGTTCAGCCCCACTCTCCACTCAAAACAAAGAGTTCTCTAGTCCTCTGCATTGGTAGTTGAGAAACTCTGCCTGCTGAGCCCCCTCCCTGCTTTTCTGGCTAGAGCTAGTCTGACCTCTGCTGGGTAGCACAGGCCATCACAGCTGTGCCCTGGGCTTTTCCAGGGCCCTTTCTCACCACCAGCTTTGCTCTCTATCTAAAAGGGCAACTTGGACCTGTACCCATGCGTGGTACAGGACATTCACCTACATCTTGAAACAAGATTGTTTAAAACCATCCTTCCTGCTTTGCCACAGTGCCTGTAATTCCCACCATTCGAGTCATAGAATTATCAAGAAAAGAAACTCATAGAAAAAGCAGAAAGGTCAACTTCATAAACAACTCTTTTTCCTGATACAAAGGACTATGTTCTCGGAAACTCAGGCTTCCTCATACTTAAAATGGGATGACGCACATCCCAGATGATGTAGGTTAAACCTAGAAATCCAGCATTTGAAAGGCTGGGGTAGAGAATTGCCCAGAGTTCAAGGCCAGTGTGGGCTACAGTGTGAGACTTTGTCTAAGGAAGCAAGAAGAGGAGGAGGAAGGGAAAGGAATAGAAGAAGGAAGAAGAGGAAGAAGAATAGGAGGAAGAAGAGGAGGAAACAAAGTACCTAAAAATTATATAATTAAATGTAATCAATTGAGCAAATAATGTAATTAATGTCCAAAAGAGTCTAGAACAAAGTTGGCTATGTGGTAGGCTAGGCTTTCAACTTTGTTCTCACCTTCAGTTGACTAAAGAATTTCCTGAAGGACCAGTATTAAATGATATGTTTGGCTCAGTAGGAGCAGCTCCCTCATCCACAGGGGCAGGGAGCAGCTTGGGGTCTCCAGTTCTAGAACCACCGTCAGAAACAGTCCAGGAGCAAGGGGCTCAGTGCTGAAGAGGATTTCCTGCTCTTGCAGAGAACCTGGCCTTGGTGCCTAGACCTACATGATGGCTCACAGCAATCTATATATAACTGCAGTTCAAGCGGATGACTTCCTCTGACCTCCTTGGGCTCCTGAATACACTGGGATATGTATGTAAAATCTCTCTCTTTCTAAAATGTATGTATATGGACATATATCTATGGATCTATCTATCTATCTATCTATCTATCATCTATCTATCTATCTATCTATCTATCTATCTATCTATCTATCTATAGTCCAGGAGTAGAGTTCTCAGCTGGGGCAGGCCAGTATTATGAGGAAGGAGACCCTGGAAAGGGTGACAATATAACACACCCCATAGACAATCTTTGAACTGGTTGACAGAAGTGCTCTGAACCTTCATGAAAATACTAAAATGACTGAAAGATACTGAAAGGATTTCATGTTGTTGATAGGGTAGGTGTGGGTGGCTATAGTGTTATCTTCATCTATTTTGTGGGATGATTTAGCTTGAAAAGATGAAATATAATAAATGGTCTCTGTGTGTCTAGAGATAGAGTAGGTTAGCATCAAACTAGAAGACGACCGACAAGGACAGGTATCCTGTATCCTAGGCCAGACTCTTCCCTCATATGCCTTCCATATATCATCAGAAAAAGAGCGCAGGCTCCCTAGACACATGGGATCACAGAGAGGCATTTGTGCCATTGCCCGTCAAGGTCCATAGCAATGACAGCTGGAGACAAGGCTAGAGTGGTATTTACGAAACTAACTTGCAAATTGGTCTAGGGCAAAGGTTAATGGGGGGAGCTAGTCTAAGGAAAATTACTGAGCAAGTTGCACAAAAATTCTTTAGTTTGGCAGATATGGGTGCGCACACTTCTTTTAACTTCAGCACTCAGGAGTCTGAGGCAGATGGATTTCTCTGAGTTCAAGGCCAATCTGGTCTACAGAGCGAGTTCCAGGATAGTCAGAGCTGCATTGTGAAGCCTGACATGTTTCAAAAACAAAATTCCTTAGCTTAATCTAGCTAGTTCCACCCTCTTGTCTATGAAATAAACCCCCCTTGTCTATGAAATAAACCCCCTTCCACCCAGACAACTCTTGTTTCTCGACTGGAGTGCCCTCACCCACTCTTCCCTAACTATCAGTGGCATGTGCTTAGTGGATGAAAAAAAACCTACTTCAGAAAGATACATCTCAGAAAATCTCCTCCTAAAATGCAATAGCAGAAATCCAGTAATTTTAGAGAAATCTTGTTAATTTACATTTTTTGTCCATTCACCTAATTATATATTTTATATATTGTGTACAAATCATGTGATACTATCTTTTTCTGGTTGGATTCTTCCTTAATGTCCACTGAGCACTAGAGTTACTAGTAAGGTGTTTCCCAGTGAAATGGTTTGATGAGGAGAGGTCATTAGCAATCTCAGTGCTGAGCAGAGTGGAGCAGCAGGGAGGGGGGGAGAAGAGCATGGCCTTTGGGAGACAGACTTGCATTCAAATCGGCTAATCTTCCTCTTTTCGGCTGAGTCATACTTAAGTATGGTGCGCATGTAATTTCTTTAAATGTTAGACTTTGTGTGTGATACTATGAGAATCAGAAAAAAATGTTTATAGTGGTTGATACTAACTACATGCGTTTATGCATTGAGCAAAAAGTGATTATCTCTAGACAACAAAGCATTTATTCTTAAACACTAGTAATGGCTTGCAAGTGGATTCCAGGGTCTGTTTAGGTTTCTTTAAGGGCAGAGGAGAGACTGGCAGGATGTTGTCAAGCCTTTTGTCACCACTTTGGTCAGAACCAACTTCTGGTTCGGGGTGCCTTCCTTCATTCTAGTGACAAAGCCAGTGTTTGAATGGTAAGGTTTGAGGGACCCCTGGTAACTCAAACTTGCAGGGTTGCTATCTTCCTCTGCAAGGTAAAATGAAGTTAGGAGAATGACCCAGAAGGGATGGATAACTGTCCTCCATTCTGTCCTATTTTCAGCACAAAAACCAGTCTCTCCAGCTAAAACAATTGTTAACAGCTATAGGGCACTTGCAGTGTATTAGACCTGGGGCTAAGCATTTTGTATTCATGTCACTTAGTCCATAAATAATCTATGGGTAACAATATTTAGTAGCAAATTTGGAAATGATGGTGTTGACCTTTTGCCAAAGGTTATCAAGCTTCAGAGCGATGGAGAAGCCAAGTTGGTAAAGGTCTTCCTACTCCAAAACCTTTAGAGACAGAAGGCTGGAAAGCCTTGTGTTTCCACCTCTACTTCTGAGTCTGTGCTGCGTATGGTGCACTATTCACCTTCTACACAGTTGGTGGAGAAGAAGAGGATGTTCCGGGTCTCCAAAAGGTTCTCATGGGTGCAATCAGGGCAGCGAGACTGGGGTTCGGACTCCCCAGTCAGGGAGGAGTTGTCTACCTGGGGTGGCAAGGAGGATAGGTTAAAAGGCAAGCATAGGAGAGATTCATTTATGAAGACAACATCACCTTACCTGTCCTAACCATCATGGCATTAACAGACAGAGATAAGCAAATGTCCTTCCAGCTCCTTGTCGTCACACTTGTTTTTTTGTTTTTGTTTTTGTTTTTTCCGAGACAGGATTTCTCTGAAGCTTTGGAGCCTGTCCTGGAACTAGCTCTTGTAGACTAGGCTGGCCTTGAACTCACAGAGCTCTGCCTGCCTCTGCCTCCCGAGGGCTGGGATTAAAGGCATGCGCCACCACCGCCCAGCTTTGTCTTACAGCTAAGCCATCCTCATCACAAGGTTCTGAATAGTAGGATCATGTTTTCTGTACCTAAGCCCAGGTCCTTATCATACCCTCAAACTACACATTGCCTTAGACTCCCTCCTCTAGCCTTCCAGACCTCCTCACCTTACATCCTTGTGCAGCGATAACCCTGATGTCAGCAGGGACTTGGTCTCCGCCCTTCACTTCTACTAGGTCTCCCAGAACCACGTCTTTTACATTGATTTGCATCTTCTCTCCACCTCGAATTACCAGAGCTTGCTGGAGGAAGATCACGGAGGATTGTTATGCAGCTTCCTGCCTTGCCCATCCTGCTCCAACCCTAGAAGTTTCCATTTCCATCTCCTTTCTTCTGTGCTTTGCACCATAATAGTCTTGAAAGTGTTTCGGCAGATTGCATACTTCTGCCCCAGAGCCTTTGCAATATGACTTTGGTGGCCTTGCCATTAAGAGGTGGGATCTATCTCTTAATTCCTAAATGTAGACTTGGCCATGTGATCGCCCCCACCCCCACCCCATGAGATATCAGCAAGTGTGGTACAAACAGGCTTGGAAATCCTTTCATGCTAAGATTTTCCCTGCTATTCCCGGGAACCCCTCTGCTCCCATGAACAAGCCAGAGCCCCAACCAACCCAGTCATTTCAACTGAGGTTCCAGGGGAGTCAATAAAGTTATTTTATATTTCTACCTAGCACAAGCTAAAGTCAGCCCAGACCACAGCAACAGCCCAGACACGAAACTGAGACAAAAGCCCTGTTTGGGGCAGCATATTGGGCCACCAGTGCTACCTGATAAACTCCAAGTTCCTCGTCAAAACTCTTACTGGAGGAAAAGTTTAAATTATGAAGGGAGAAGAAAGCCTTAAGCAACAAGGCTAGAACATGATAATACTGTTGCAAGATTCCGGAGACTTTCTAAGCGTCTAGACCTGTATTTAGGAACTCCAATCTGCTGTCATACCATTTCCAGATACCTTACAAAAATTTAGCTTCAAAATAATTTTTAAATTTCAGACAAGTTTCCATAATGAAAATAGTGACAAGCACACCTGTAAAACTTTTACCATCATCGCCCACTAACTTTTAATCTCATTTGCATTGTCCTTTTCTGTCTCTAAGTTACATGCATCATGACAACTTATGCCAAACACTTCTGTGTTTATTTTACAAGAATTATGTTATCTTCTCTCTTTAAAAAAAAGATTTTTTTAAATATACTTGTATGTATATGCACCATGTTCATGCCTGGTGTCTGTGAGGCCAGAAGAGAAGGAAGGTGGAAGTCCTTTGGAACTGGAGTTACAGGTGATTGTAAGCCGCCTTTAGGGTATGGGAACTGAACCCAGGTCCTCTGCAAGAGCAGGATCATAGGGTTCTATTGTGATAAACACCCTATCAAAAGCAACTTTGGGAGGAAAGGATGTATGCCACCTACACTTTCCACATCACAGTCCATTTGTCCAAGGAACTCAGTAACTCAAGGCAAGAACCTGGAGGCAGGAACTGAGGCAGAGGCCATGGAGGCGTGCTGCTTACAGCTTGCTCCCCATGGCTTGCTTAGCCTGCTTTCTTATACCACTCAAGACAGTCAGCCCAGGAGTGGCACTGTCCAGAGCAAGCTGGGGCCTCCCACAGCAGTCAAGGAAATGTACCACAAGCTTGCCCACAATCTGGTGGGGACATTTCCTCAAACGAGTTCCCTCTTCCCAAATGACTCGTTTGTGTGTCAGGTTGACATAAAATTAGCCAGTGCAAGCAGTTTGAACAAAGATTGACAAGTGCTCTCAACTGCTGAGCCATCTCTTGGCCCTGTAGAGCTCTCTTATACAACAGGGCAGTGGTAGCTTCTGCAGGTTTCACGCTGATACAGTACTCACATCTACTCTACGTTCCAGCTTTTGCCACTTGACCCAAAATACCTTTGGAGGCCTTGCCTCCTGAGCACAGCATCTATAGGCGCAGGCCCAAGACCTTTATCTTTACCAGGATATTCACACTCCCATATCTTTTCAGCTTCTTTTAAACTGGAACATTTCCACAGGTTCATAGACTTTAATGTCAGCCCAGCCACTGGCCTCGCCCTTTTGTTTTTAGTAGAATGTTCTTTTTGGTTTGTTTGTTTGTTTGTTTCTCGAGACAGGGTTTCTCTGTAGCTTTGGAACCTTCTTGGAACTTACTCTGTAGACTAGGCTGACCTCGAACACACAGAGATCAGCCTGCCTCTGTTTCCCAAGTGCTGGGATTAAAGGTGTGTGCCTCCACTGCCTGGCTAGTAGAATGTTCTTGTTTGAGTTGGGGAGGGTCTTTCTTTATTGGATTATCACTTTAGACTCGACAATTCTTTGGTGGTATTACCTGAGTTTCACGTTTTTTTTCCTGGTAGTTTCTAGGCCCCTTCATTACCAGCCTCACTCAGCGCACCCACAGTGGGTTACAGACTCCAGGGGACTGATTATACAATTGGTCACAATCTGCACTTCCTCCCACTAGGCCCTCCCACACAAGTCCTACCTACCTGAGGCACCATGTTCTTAAAAGATTCCATGATCTTGGAGCTCTTGGCCTCCTGATAATATGAGAAGCAGCCAGTAATGAGGACCACGGCAGCAAGTACGATGCCCAGGTACAGCTGGAGACAGAAAGAAAGTGTTATTAGCACATCCTTTCCTCCCTCTTCATCCTCAGGGATTGCTAAGGCAACAACTTCCTCTGGATGGAGGAAATCATGGGACTGAGTTGCAGGGCAGAGGGGCTGAAAAGAACCAGGGATGGTGCTTGCACAATCGGCTTCTTAGTAACAGAAACCTGAGCCATTGCGGTGAGTGGTCAGAAAAATGCCAGAGAATGTGTGGCTTCCTCCCCCATAAAGGTGGGAGGTGGATAATGAGCCAAGGAAGGTGAGAGATGAAGAGGCCGACGTTCTGGGAGTAAGGGAAAGGGCTGCAGACTATGGCTGGCTGGGATGATGCTTCTCAGGGAGCTGAACCAGAAGCTTCCTAGATAAGAGGTTGCAGGGGACCAAGATGGATCAAGAACTTCTCTAGAAAGTTCTGAACTCTTGGGGATTTGGACCAGAAGACTTTGGGAGTTCCAGGCTGTTGGGAGTTTCAGGGACTTAGCCACAGACTAGACGAGACAGTAGGAGGTTAGGAAGCTCACATTATCTTTGTTGGTCTTTTCACTGTAATGTACGTGTATGCCGTAGGCCAGGAAGCAGAGAAAGGCACCAGTCCACAGCAGGAGGGAGAAGCCGCCAAACATTTGTTTACAGAATTTGACCCACTCTGGTGTGGTCGGGGGAGGGCTTAGTGCATTCGGTCCGTTTGCAAACAGAATCTCCTGGGCGTCTTTGAGGCTATGGCCCTGGGTGGAGAAGAAATAGGGTTTGGAGAGAAGGCGAAGTTACAATCAAGGATAGGCGTGCCTCCCCCCCCCCCCCCCAAAGCAGGCCTCTGAACGTCCTTCTAGGTTCTTCCTGGATAAGGTAGGATTTTAGACGTCGTGTTGTATGAAAGGTGTCTTTAGCATGCTTATATAGAGCTTTTTCGATTTGTTCATTTGTTTATGAATTGACTTACAAACATTTGAACTTGAATGCTTTACCTTGGGGCTTGGTAGTATGATAGGCGTTGAGAATATGGTCTTGAGTAGGAACTGTCTCCACTCCAAGGGTCTGGTGAGATGGCTTAATGAGTAAGGGTGGATGAAGCAAGGCCTGACAACCTAAGGCCAACTCTTGGCCTCACAGGGCGGAGAGAACTGAATCCCATATGTTGTCCCACCTCCATGTGCATGCTGTGCTGTCTTTACACCCACACACATACACATAGGCACAATTAATCAACGAAACTAAAGAATATCCCAAGGGAGCTCAAGTCGAAAACAAACATATAGAAATGGTTATGGTGTCCCAGCCTACCTAGGGCTATGATCCACGATGCTGGTAATATACTAGCATTTACACTTTGGCCTCTAGTTTGGAAATAAGAGAAAATCAAACTAAAGACACAAATGCATAGATTTTTTTTCTTTTTTGTTTTTGTTTTTTTGGACAGAGTTTCTCTGAGTAGCTTTTGGACCTAGAACTGGCTTTGCAGACCAAGCTGGCCTTGAACTCACAGAGATCTGCCTGCCTCTGCCTTCTGATTGCTGGGATTAAAGGCATGCACCACCACTGCTCAGATAGATTTTGTTTATTATAGTCTTATGCACATACTTCTGTGCTTTTTCCTTTATATTATGTGAAAATAGAATCTGAAACCTATCAGCCATTCCCTTAACCTCTCCTCAAAAAGACCCAAGGAGCCTCCAATACTCTCTAGGGGTCCATAAAGTCTAAAGCTTTTATTTATTTATTTATTTATTTTGGTTTTTTGAGACAGGGTTTCTCAGTAGTTATTGGTGCCTATCCTGGAAGGTCTAAAGCTTTTAATAATACGTTGTCTTTTTCACTCATTCTTGAGAATGGATGGTTGGCCAGCAAGTTCCAGGACAGCCTGATCTACATAATGAGGCCTTGTCTCACAAAACAAAAACCAAAAAACCCCAAACAAACAAACAAACAAACAAAAAATCCAAAAAACCAAATGTGTATGATAGATGTTAAGGATTGACTCTTAAATGTTCCCCAAGCAACCTGGTTCCCAGCTTATGGCAGGAATATTAGGAGACAATATAGGTGGAGAAAGTTGGCCACAGGAAATAGGCCATGGGAAGTAGGCCACAGGAAGCAGGCCATGGGAAAGCATCCTTGAAAGGATCCTTCCTCCACCTTCCTGTCTGCCCTGAGGTAAGCAGCTTTGCTCAGTCACTTGTTTCCTTCCCCCTCCCCCAGACTCAGAAATAGTGACTCCACTGGGCAGTGATAGCAAACGCCTTAAATCCCAATACTTGGGAGGCAGAGGCAGGCGGATCTCTACGAGTTCAAGGTAAGCCTGGTCTACAAAACAAGTTCCAGGAAAGTTAGGGCTGCACAGAGAAACTCTTATCTCGAAAAACTAAACGAAACTAAAAATAAAGAAATGGTGGCACCAAGAGACCATGGCCGGAGCCCTCAGAGCTGTGAGACAGAATGGCTCTCTACACTGTTTGTCTCCGCCTTACGTTATTTTTCTGCTGCTGTGAAGAGACAACATTACCAATGCAGCTTATACAAGAAAGAGTTTGCTGGGGCTCACAGGTCCAGAGGGTTAGAGTTATGACCATCATGGCGGGGAGCATGGCAGCTGGCAGGCAGTAGTTGAGAGCATGCATCCTGATCCACAGGCATAAGGCAGAGAGACAGCTGGGAGTGGCTGGGTGTTTGAGACTTCAAAGCCTCAGTGACACTCTCCTCCAACGAGGCCACACCTCCTGGTCCTTCCCCAGTGTTCCACCAACTGGAGACAAAGGTCTCAAATATATGAGCCTATGGGGTCCACTGCAGATTCAGGAATTTTGTCCCCTAATAGAAAGATGATACTTCAAGATTTCCAGTCTTCATGACATGTTCCAATAGATTTAATACCCCAAAGAGAAGAATTCAGATTTTTCTATTAGAAAGCTACTCATTAAAGACGTTTGGAGGCTGGAGACATGGTTCAAAGGTTAAGAGCACTGGCTGCTCTTCCAGAGGACCTGGGTTCAATTCCCAGCCCCCACATGTCAGCTCACAACTGTCTGTAACTCTAGTTCTAGGGGGATCTGACACCTTCACACCAATGTACATAAAATAAAGTTGTAATAAATTACCAAAAAGTTATGTAAAATATAGGTGGGTGGGGTGGTGGCGCACACCTTTAATCCCAGCACTCGGGAGGCAGAGACGGGTGTATCTCTGTAAATTTGAGGCCAACCTGGTCTACAAGAGCGAGCTCTAGGCCAGCCAAGGTTGTACAAAGCTGTTGTCTTGAAAACAAACAAAAAAGAAGTTTGTAAAATATAAAATGACCAATTTTTTAAAAAATGTAGTTATTTGGTTGAAATATTATTGCTACTAGTCTATAATAAACCTTTCCTTTTTCCCTCCTCTTTCTTTCGAAATTCTGGGGGTTGAACTCATGGTCCCACTCAGGGGTCTACCACTGAGCTACATTCCTGACCGCTACTCTATTTGTAAAGGAACTGGAAAATACATTTAAAATTTGCCAACTTTAATTTTACTGTGGCAAATACTGATAATGTTATTTCTACCTAAGCCAAAGCTCTGTGGAGTCCTTGATAAATTCTAAGGAACTGAGCAGATCCTGAGGATAAACAAAGGCAGGCCTCTCCGATCTACCTGTAGCCTCTCTCTGGGGTAGTTACTGGGGTCATCTTTTCCAGCTAGAGTTTCATGGAACTCTGCAGGGCTTGAGGGTAAGAGGTACAAAGTTGGGTTTGAAGATGAGGGGAGGAGATGTCTCTGCACTGTCCTTGTGGCCCCAAGTCCATGAGAACCTCTGCCTCTCTTGGGCAGTTCACACTCACCTTGGTCAAGTCCACAGAGTACTTGGCACTCAACTCATCCAAGGTTAGCTTGTGGTCATCCTAAGGGGACAGAAGAGTCATCACGGTGAGATAGTGACCTCAAGGTCACGTACAGAGAGGAGGGAGGAAGCGGGAAAGGGAGAGTCCAGGCAGTGTGCTTTGTTCTCCAGACAGGATGCGGAAGGCAACCAAGCAGAAGGCCTAGGGGTGTTTCAAGGGTGATTGGCTTTGCCTTTCCTCACCATATCCGCTTCCTTCTTCAGTTCTTCTAAATCTTTCTTCTTTCCCCCTTTTCGTAGATTTTTATTCATCATTATAGACCTCGCATCAGGTCTTGGGCTTTGATTAGGCTCCTGAGGGGTCGCGGTCCCTTTTTCCTTTCCAGGCTCCATAATGTGATCTCTAGACACAGCTGGCTCGGCTCAACTAGTGGGAAGAAAGCAAGGAGGGTAAGGATGCGGGGGAGTGAGCGGGAGGAAGGGTCATGGAGTTGAAGGTGGGCAGTGGGGTAGAAAGAGTAAAGGAGTGGGACCAATGGGGAGAGGAGTCGCCGTGCAACACGGGAAAGGAAAGGTGCGGAAGGGAGCAGGTCTGAGCAGCAAGGGTGGAGAAGGAAGCACCAGGCCGAGTGAACCTAGACTCTGTAGGTAAGGGTGGAGGTACAGAGAGGGAGATGGGCGTGGAGGGTACCTGGGTACCTAAAAGATGAAGACTGAGGGGCTCAGAAGGTGGGAAGTGCAGGTGGGAGCCGAGGTGAGAGTGAGCTTCTGGGCAGGCCAGGTGCCCCAGCCCCAGGTCCTGTGGGTGCCATGGCAACAGCCTAGGCCTAGCATCATAATGGGCTCATGAAAGTTCTAATCAAGAACACACAAATCTCTCTGTCTCGGGGTGAGGATGACTGGAGCAGGTTCTGCCACAGAGAGACTTTAGATCAGACAGCAAAACTCGAGCAAAGTCTTTGTATGGTCATGTGTCTTCTGAGGCTAGGAATACTCCAGTTGGTGGCGCGTGTGTGTAGTTATGGGCCTCTTGCTGGTTCAGAACTGGCTCTGTACTAGACTGACCTAGGATCTATGTTTCTTCTCTTGTTTCTGCATCCCTGAGTATTGGGATCAGTGGTGTGGGCTACCATTTCCAGTTCTAGTGATGCTCTGACATTGACCAATATTGAATTTAATTTTTCAGTTTTGGAGATTGACTAGGGAGATAAACTCTGGACTTTGGAATTTGTCCTGTGTTTGAATATGGTGTCTTCATCTAATAGCTGTATGGCTTTGTACAGATTAACTGCCCTTTCCGTACTCCCTTTTCTGTTTAGAAAAATACCTTCCACCTTGTAAAGTGGCAATCGTAAGAATCAAAGCGAGGCACTTTACCTCCTAGCTTCTCAAACTGTGTGTGGCCACCCTGTATATGGTTGTGTAGCTAAATGGTTGTGTGCATGCAAAAAAATTGACAACAGTAAAAGTTTCTGATTATGCAATAACGACAGATCAATTTTAAATCAAGCATGTGATGAGTCTGGCAGTGCCCACTCCTGTAACGCTATGCAGCTTCGGCATAGCCTTGGTTCTGAACACACAACATGCACACTTGGTACTGCTACATGGGCGTAATTAATGCCGCTGGAAATACTGTGGCCCAATTAAACACTGTGTGTGTGGTATATGTGTGTGTGTTGCATGCTCGCACATGACACAGTGCCTGTGTGGAGGACAGAGGACAACTGGGCTCCTGGGGCTGGAGTTTGGGCCCTCGGGGGCGGGCAGCAAGTTCCTCTACTGCCGAGTCACGCCCGGCGTTTTTACTATACATGCAAAGTTTTCTATTCTTGGAAACATGACAGAAAACAGTTTCTGAAATGTATTTTTCCCATTTTGTACTGCCTGTTGATGGGAAATGGTATTCTCAGCATTGGTGATTGATTATAAAATAAAAATTTTGATCAGCTCTGAAAAATAATGTTGCACAATAACAAACATTCAGCCAATATTTAATGATGTAAAAGTAAACAAGCACATTCATATCATGAGCATGCAAATTCATGTAGCACTTTCTTGGGAGAAAAGGGGTCACACGTGGAACATTTGAAGAAGCCTTCCTTGCTCCACGCACAAAATAACCTGAGAGTGAACGGTGTGTGCCCAATGGCTATCTTGGATTCACTCTTAATGGTTTTATGTGCAGCTAAATGTGCAGTTCTCTGTGGAAACAAAACTGTCCCACATGATACGCAGTATCCCCTTCCTTTAAAATGTCTTGGCTAGCAAGATGGCTCAGCAGGTAAAGGCGCTTGTTGCCAAACTTGATGACCCAAGTTCGATCCCCAGAACTCACATGGTGGAAGGAGAGAACCAACTTCCACAAGATGTCTACTGACCTACACATTCATGTCATGTACCCGCACACACACACAAAAATGTACGAAATTAAATTATGTGTTTATCTCTTCTGTTTACCTTCTCTAGTATCTCACTAAGTACCTTGACTTTTATGTGATAATTATGCCTTAATCATTTTTAAATTTTTAGATTATAGTATAATAACATTTCTTTCTTCTCTTTCCTCCCTTCAAACCATCCCATATGCCTCTCCCACTTTCCTTTAGGTTCCATGGCTTTTTCCTAACTAGTTGTTAGTGCATTTTTAAAAAAAAAATATTTTTTTAAAATATTTATTTATTTGTTTATTATGTATACAGTATTCTGTCTGCAGGCCAGAAGAGGACACCAGGCTTCATTACAGATGGTTGTGAGCCACCATGTGGTTGCTGGGAATTGAACTCAGGACCTTTGGAAGAGCAGGCAATGCTCTTAACCGCTGAGCCATCTCTCCAGCCCCCTATTTTTTTTAACATTTTATTTAAATGGATCTGCAGCAGTTATGTATTTCTATCAAATATTTTTTTCAGTTATGAGATCACATAAATTTTAGTTATTTGATATTTAACTGTGTTTTGACTGTGTGTGGTTTTGGTTATGATGGAACTTAAAGCATCTCTCACACCAATGACGTCCTTTGCACTGGTTCCCCCTTCCCAGCCAGAACAGGGGTTTGTCTCTTTCCTTCAGAGACTGTCTTCCTTCTTTAGTAAAAAGAAGAAAATAAGTGGGGCTGTGGACATAGCTCAGTCCGTGAGGAGCTTGCCATGTAAGCCTAAGGCCTGCAGTTCAGATCCCCAGCATCCACACGAAAAGCTGGGTGTAGTGATGCGTGTCTGCACTCACAGTGCTAGGGATCACTGGTGTGGCTGGCCTTCACACACACAAACACACACACACACACACACACACACACACACACACACACACACACACCCCTCCTCTGCTATCTATAAAATGAAATAATCTCAACACTCAGGAGATGAACCAAAAGATCCTTGAGTTTGAGACCAGCCTGGGTTACATGGTGAGATTTTGTATTTTACAAAAAGTGTAGGCTGGATGGTGGCAGCAAACACCTTTAATCCTAGGAGGCAAAGGCAGGTGGATCTCTGAGTTCAAACCCAGCCTGGTCTACAGAGTAAGTTCCAGGACAGCCAGGGCTATTACACAGAGAAACCGTGTCCTGAAAAAACAAACAAATAAAATAAAGCAAAAGTGTAAAGTGAAAGCCAGAAATCCCCCTTTTCCTTCCCCACAGCCGTTCCAAGGCCAAAACAGTTGATATTAAAAGGTCGTCCATCTTTCCAGTTTTTCCTATGTTTGTTCAAGTAGAGACCTAAGAGGAGATTCGTTTTTAATCTTTACGTGCCTATTCAATTCTCCTCTCATTTATCAACTTGTCAGGTGCATGATGCTTGTCTCTCGGCTCCTGCAGGCTTTCCACAGCCTGTCCTGACCACGGCGTGTACGGTAACTCCCACGACTGAGATGGTGAGAGGCTATTTCCCATCTGTTTTCTTAACCATGAGAAACATTGCCATGGAGGCAAACTGGCTAGAGGTAGCTGTAGCCTCTATTTCTGTAGAATCGATTTCCATTGCTGAATCATATGGTAAGCTCATTTAAAGTCTTAAAATATTCTGCCAACTGCTATTAAAAGGGCATTGCCTTGGAGCTTAACCGTAAGATGTAGCAAAGGCCACCCTCCACACAGGGTGACCTTGACTTCTCAAGAGTTTTAATTTTGTAAAGTTATTGTTTGTGTATTTTCCAATATGTTCGTGGATTGTGTTCTGGATTGCCGTTTTCCTTCTGTGAATTATACTATCATTTGTTCAATTTTATTGTTTTCTTTTTAAAAATTGACTTATTAGACTCCACTGCCAGTTACACTGCAAATGTTTTCTCAGCTTTTAAAAACACTTTTATTATATAAAACAGTTTGGAAATTTAAATATTCCTCCCCCAATTCCTTCCAGATACTCTCCTCTTCCCTACCCATCTAACTTTAAGTTCTTTCTAAAAGACAAAAAAAACCCAAACAAGAATAAACCTCCAAAAACCTAGAATAAAAAATATATCAATATTCAAAAAGAAAACAAAACAAACAAACAAACAAAAAAACCAAACTGTAACCAAAAGGGAGTACACAAAAAGACAGTGGAGCCCATTATATGTAGGTCAGCTACTCCTGAACATGAGGTCTGCCCTGGAGTAGTTGGTATACTCAGTGTAATTCCATTGGAGAAAACTCATCTTCCCTCCCACAGCAGGTAGAAATGACAGCTTAGTCCTTAACTTCTACCCTAGCGGCTAGGTTTTCACAAATTTATTCATTATTTTTTTAAAAAATAAAATAGAAACGATAAAATAAAAACTATCAGATCGGCCAGGTGGTGGGGGCACACGCCTTTAATCCCAGCACTTGGGAGGCAGAGGCAGGCGGATCAGTTCAAGCCAGCCTGGTTTACAGAGCTAGTTCCAGGACAGCTGGGGCTACACAGAGAAATCCTATCTTGAAAACAAACAAACAAGCAAAAACCTCCAAAACAAACAAAAAACCCAAACAAACAGAAAAAATAAAAACCTAACAAATCAAAATTGGACAAGACAAACCAACAGAGGCAAAAGAACCCAAAGAGAAGGTAGAAGAATCAGAGACCCTTTCGTTCACACACTCAGGAGTTCCATAAAAACACTATACTGGAAGTCATAGTGCAGACACAGAGGACCTGCTGCAGACCCGAGCAGGCCCTGTGTGCGCTGCTTCAGTCTCTGTGAGTTCATATGAGCTTTGCCCAGGCTGATTTATCGGGTTTTGTATCTTTGGTGTCTTCCATGCCCTCTGTCTCTTACATTCTTACTGCTTCCTCTTTCATGAGGTTCCCTGAGCTCTGTGGGGAAGAATCTGATGGAAGCATCCCATTTAGAGCTGGGTGCTCCAAGGTTCTCCGGTTCTCTATGTAATGTCTGACTGTGGGATTATCTGTTCCCATCTGCTTCAGGATGAAGCTTCTGATGATGGCTGAACAAATTACTTATCTTCAAGTTTAGTTGTCATTAGAAATTGTTTTATCATCACATATATTTTTTTTTCTTTTATAGACCAGTCTTATTTGATTTTGCCCAGGTCCCTGGACTATCTAGTCTCAGGTTCTTGGTTACCCAAGTAGTGTTGGATATGGGTTCTATCTCATGGACTGGGCCTTAAATCAGATCAGCTATTGGGTGGTTACTCCCACAAGCTTTGTGCCACCATTGCTCCATCATTTTGTGCAGGGAGTACCCCATTATAGACAAAGGGTTTGTGGTTAGCTTGGTGTTTACATTTCCCTTTTGATAGCATGCAGAGTACCTTCCTATGCCAAAGACCCTCGTAGGGGTGAAGGGTCTATGTAGGTACCAACTCGACTCGTTCCTGTCCAGTTAG